TTGTTTTGCTATTTACATTAGTTAATTTTCATAAACACATTTAACTCTCAGTCACTTAATAAACATCAGCAGTGCTGAAGTCACTCCCCACATTATTGTTACTGTTTGACCAAGTAACGTGAAGTTGCCTGTGTGCCCTCACCCTCTGGTTGGCACCTGTACTTTTCCTTATTTCTGTGTGTACCTATAGTCATAAATGTGATACTGTACTGGCATATTAAAAAAAAAAAAAAAGAAAAAGAAAAAAGGGTGTTACACATCTAGTTTAGATGTAAATATTTTTGTATACAGTAAAATTCACTTTGTATTGTATTTACTTACACTTAGAGTTGGATTAAATTGGAATAACTCAATGGATGTGTTCATTATAAAACTCTACTTAAAAAGTTCAGATGTACCATTGCAGGTATTTACACTTCTGTTTGTACACTTAATGATTTAAAATTAAATTCTTGCAAGATTCTTGTGTGCCTTCTCTTGAGGAAGGCTTCACATGCATCAGTAATCTGTTCTCCAGAGTCGCTGTAAACTAAACATGTTCTTAAACTATCTTTTGCACATAGAAAGTCTATAGATATAAAAGAATGATGGATTTAAAAGACAAATGTCTGACTTGTATTAGTCAAGAAAGCTAAGAGTCCAACAGAATGGTGTTTAGGATTAACAAACAAGCAAAATGTGTACAAACAGAATAGTATTGTAACTTCATCAGCATGAGTCCTGGTTCTTTTTTTAGACAGATTTTTTTCTTTTTTAGTTTATCTGATACTCAATGATGTATTTCTAGCTGATACATTGTCCCAATCTTAATCTGTCTGAATTTCTATAACTACTGAATGTTAAGTTTCTCATTTTATGTTTTTGTTACTGGGTCATCTGAGATTTCCTATTTAAACTGGATTTGGACTGAATTACAAAGAAAGAATACACTAACATTGTAACAGCTGATGATGTATGTGGACTTTGTATTCCATTTTTCATGAATTTTCTCTGATTATTTTTTTTCTATTCTCAAACCACTGTAAGCAAAATCATTTGTACAGATGTACAAATGCACACTAATGCACTGCTGGGGCTGGTCTGCTTCTTCAGTAACGCATCTCAGGTATCTGAAATAGTTTCAGCTTTGGAGTGGTTTAAGAACTAATATGGTTGTATTTTTTTTTTTTTTAACGTCAGTAAGAGGGGAAATGGTACTTAATAGTTTTAAAAAGATGCATTATATTTTTGCCTGCGTAAGCAGCAACTCTTCTGTAAGAGTGTATTAGCAAATGCTTAAGCACCAAATGAAGTATGATGTTAGCCTTTTAAGAAAATTAAAAGGAGGATGCTTATTTTTGTAAATTATTTTAATAATAAGCTTTTAATAATGAGGAATTCCAAGTGAATTGTGTAGGAGCATTGTCCAAGACCCTAGATATGCATGTTCATGTCTAGAACGGTTCCAGATCTTACTGGTATTGAGCTGTAACAAACATTATTTACCTACTTTTTTTTATGTGTGTTTTTGAGGAAGAGTGTATGTGGGGTTGGCATTTTTTATGTTTCTAGCATTTACCACAGAAATCATGTATTGTGCATCTGTTTCAATAGCTGAAATCCACCTTAAGAGTGTAAGAGACAAACGGTGCCATTGTTCTGTTTGCCTCCTCGAGGCTGTTTGATAGCTATTCCGCTGCTTTACAGAAGCATATGTTTTGTTTCTGAATGTTTAGTAATTTCATTTTCTTAAGGGTGATAAGATGGTTTGAAAACCAAATGAACTGAAAATCTTATTACTTCTTTTCATGAATGTTGCTGTAATTTTGCTGCCTTTTGAAGTGTCTTAAGACACACACATTTTTCTGTTCCTCGTGGCCTCTGCTTTTTCCCCTTGCTGTGCGAAATCAGTAGTTCTGGCAAATTTAAGCAGTGTGGAAGTTCCATAAGAAATTTGTCTGTAAAGAATTACAGCATTTGAAACAAAGAAATTACTTGCACTGAAAACATGGGTTTTGTACAATGTTCTTCAGAGAACAAACAAACTTTTTTTTTGTTTTGTTTTGCTCATTGTGGTTTGAGAAGTAAGATTTCTTTTTTCAAAAAATAAGAGAGAGAGAACTATTTTCATTTTATGTTTTCCTGTGGCAGCCTGATCTACCTTTTGTGTCTTCCTCGTATATTAATGTGAAAGGTGCTTTCCAACCTCATAGTATTTGAATTTGTAAACTAAAAAGCTGGTTTTCTGAACACACCTCTGCTCATCATCTGTCTCTGGCGAATAGACAGGCTGGGATAGTAGGAGAAGCGTGCAATGAAACAAACTGTAGTTTGGGAGTGTTCTTTTTCTGTTCGTATGAAGTTGTTTATAACATCAGGAAATTGTTCAGCCTTAGTGTTTCATTTAAGAGCAACATTAAGTCAAAGATATCAGGTAAGTACACTAATAAAAAGGGGGGGAAAATGCAACAAATGGAACAGCTGCTAGTGATGGTAGGGTAGGTAATTTGTACGTGTGTGAAGGGCAAAGACTGAAGCGTATCTCAGTTGACATGCAGAATGGCAAATACAGTGTCAAGCTTGAAATTCTTTAATTCTTGTTGTGCTGTTATAGCTGAACAACAATATTGGAAGGTTTCTGACAGTCTGGAACCTAGTTTAAGTTAAAACAAACTTTTTTTGGAATGGGATTTTTGCTTTTGTGTATTTTTTTTCCCCTATGTATAGAATAAAATAAATGAGACCTACATTCATTCATAGGAGCTATCAGAATATGATGACAAATATGTATCATGTGTTTTACTCAAATGTCAACGTTTTGTGAGATTGAAATTCAGTCTCTGAAACTATCTGATAAATCACTATTATAAACTGACAGATGTATGCACATAAGGCTTTAAATTACTGTAGAATTTTCACACTTCTAAAAGCTGTTTAAAACTTTCATATGCTTGCTTGATGATTGGAATTAAAGGCAAAAATAGTTGTTACTGTGAGATACTTACATATATATAAGAAATCTCTTGGGTTTTGGTGTAAGAGTGTCTTTGGGTGTGAAAAACAATGCTTAAGTTGCATTTTGCATAAATATAAAAATGTTGGATCCCTTAAGCTCTGGGATTTCATTTGTGAAATGCTCCTTAGCTTTTAAACCACAACAAACTATTCAACAGATAAGTCTGCTTTTTGGGTATCATCAGTGGAAATGCTGAAAAACTGATTGCTGTATGATGTTAAATTGTACAAACCTGGCACATGCTTGGGACAGATAGCTCGTATAAACTTGAGGCAGGTGGAAAACTGCATTACAACAAAGGGTTGGCTAGAGATTTCATCTTTATTTTCTCCCCAAAGCGTTTCTTGCTTCGATATTCTACATGCTTGTAGAATACTGAAAAGGGCTGAGAGTGTAGGTATAATCCATACATATGTTTCTTCCTTTTGGAACTGCAAAGGTTTCTGATTTTTGCCAGGATATACTGGCAGAATATTTGGAGTCAAAATTAGCATCCCTTTGGATTTTAGTTGGCAGTGTGGTTTTAAAATTAAAAATATTAAAATTAAAAGTTTTAGAGTGGTGTTGACCATCTTAGGATCCCTATTGGAAAGCATTAATTGTAAATACTGTTTATTGTGCTTTCTTGAAAGTTCCTGTAGTTGCATTAGTAGCCTACCAAATCTAGCAAATTATTCTCAGGAACAGAAGCATTCTCATGCTAGTATTATGGATCCTACACGTGGTGCTTTGGATCTGTTAACTGTTGCCGTAGAAGTGCTCAAGATCCATGACTTGCAGCAGCAATTGTATCAGAGAGCAGCAAATTCTGACATGCAGTCTCACAGCTGTCATACCTTTTGTCCACTAAAACCCAAAATTCTCCCATCCGTTTGTGCTGATGTAGCCCACACCTCGGAATGCGTCCGAGTCGCTAAGCCTCTGAAAAGTTCACTTGAAAAATGTGTAACATCTACAGAAACTTTGGCCTCTGGGGAGGGAACTTTCTCCAGAGTAGTTACTAGTTGACGACTTGAGAACAAAGGTTGCAAATAAAAGAAATTCCAGCTGCTGCTTCAGCCTTGCCCGCATACTTTATCAGTTATGACCCAGTTACTGGAGGGTATACAGCCTAAGCTGCTTGGGTTTTACATTCTTCTTTTTAACATTGCCATTAATGATCGTGTTGAGGAAGGGAAGAAGAAATGTGTCAATCGCTTATACAAACGTGGAATGTTTTGTTTTTCCAACTGCTTTGCAATTATAATAGCAAAAGAATATTTGACAGCTGTGTACTGGTATACGTTCATGAAATTGCTCCTCTAAATGTCTGTTTTTCAAATGAACAATCGAATGTGTTTGGTTTTTACAGAACTTGATTTAAATTACTTTGAAGTTACTGAATGTTGAAATTGTGAATTATTAATGAAATGAAGATAGTCAATTGTTTTGTAATGGAATTCAACTGAAAGCCAGTGTATGGAATTATACCGTCCCAAGTATTCTGTGAACCCTTACAGTAATTCACTTTGAATGGCGTGGTTCCTCATTGCCTAAGTAGATGGGAGTAGGAAGTAGGGGCTTGGGTTTTTTCCTAGGGCAGGAGGAGACCTGCAGGTCTGTATTGTATTACTCAAAGAGTGGGTTTGTGCGATCAAACTGTGAGTGTGTATGTTTAGATGTCAAGTCCATCCTGCTTGCCACTAGGCTGGGAATCTGGAAGTGCCGCTATAAATTCTGTGCGCTCTTAAATGTTACTGGGCTGTGAGCCTCCCACTTCGTGATACAATCAGTGCATTACTTAAATGTCAAATTTAAATCAGTTTAAAACTTCTGTAAGTGAGCAGGTAAAAATGTAAAAATCTAGCTGTGGGCAAAATTACCTTACATGCTTGTTGGTTTATTCTTTCAGAATCCATACTTTAGAAAATGTTCTTTATAAATGTTTCCATCAGTCACAGGAACAGTAGCTATTTCTACTTTATCACTGCATACTTCCGAATGTGGGATCCACATTCTTTCAATTTTGTTGCACAATTGGTTTTAATTACCGTATCCTAAAGCAATTGCACCAACAAGTAGCTACTGCTCCTGCTAGCTTGTGTTAGTTTACATATGGTGAAGTAGATGCACGACTTGTGTATGTATAGATAAGGCAACAATTTTCTGTGTATTATGGGGACTAGCAAAATCTACATCACAAATTTTGACACATTACAGCTGAAGGAAGAGGAGCAGCGTACAAGACAAGATACGTTCTTCAAGGAAAGATGCTTGTCCGGCAGTTTGCTTCATGTGATTGAACTGAGCCTGTAAGGATTCATGGATAAAATGAACAGGAATAGATCTGAATAAAGCAAATCTGCATACATGGTAACCAGTAGCTCTTTTACTTTTTTTATGTTGCTTAACTGTTTTATTTGAGGGAAACCTGTGTGATTTAAACCTTATAGCTTTTGCAACTTCATTACTGGTTATATACATTTGGCAATTATAATGTGCGAGCAATTGGAAAAAGTCAAGTAAATGCTTGTTTTTATAGTAGTTTGTTCATGTTAAAATGTTCATATGATAATGTCTGTATACAGCACCACTTTGATTACAGTAGATGTAGTGTTGTAATAAACTGTTTAATGGGGCTGATGTGTAAAGCTGTTCAAGTTATTTGATGTTTACACCTCAGGGAAAGTCTTGTGTTCAGCAATATTTAAAGATAATGTTACAATGAAAACATTGATGCTGTCTTTAAAAACATCGCAATAGTTCTTGCATATGCCTCAACCTAATCTTGCATTCAGTGAGTTGAACTTACTAATGTTGCTCTCACACGCTCAATTTTGATACGAAGGCAGGTGGTTACAAAAACCTCTAATGCTATTTTGCTTTCTAGCAGTGTTTACCTGGGTGGCTTGTGAACTTGCTCACTGACATATAAAACTGTAAAAACTGCAGTTCTTTGTGTTCTCTTGCTTTGAGGAAGGTGCTCCCACATCACTGATGGGAGCACGCTGAAAATGTGTCTTTCACACGGTCTTGATCCTGGTCGACGCTGCCGTTCATATTAAACTGTTTGCATGGTCTTAAACCATTCACATTGAGGGGTGCAAAGGTTAGCTGTTTAAAAAACAAAACAATAATCCTGCAGTTGTTTACAGTTTTATAGAGCTAGTGCTTATGTGTTTCTCCCTTCCCTCCACCCCCGAGGCCGCAGGTCTGTACATAGCTGTATATTAGATGTGACAGGAGGAAGCAGATGTTTCCATTTTTCAGACTTTATGGGTTTGATACTTTTTTAATGCTTTGGGGTTTATCCAAACGTGCATATAGAAGAGAAGGTACGCCTGTATGTCCGTGTTCCACTGTGGGCAATACTGAAGTATCTTTGCAAAAAGCGGCGCTAATTAAATCCGTCAAATGAGGTTTTGTACATTTCCTTAAAAACAGTTTGCTGGAGCTTAGCGTGGAAGCTGAATTCCAGTTACAAGAAATTGTTTTAAATTTCAGTAAGCACAAATGAATGGAAAGATTCATTTAATTTGGAAAAACTCCGTTTCTGGAGGCCTTGCACAAAGGCTCATTCTTTGTCTGTTGCGAATCATTGTGTAATGGATTTATGCTTAGTTTTCACCGATTCACATAGCTGCACTTTGTGCTTTAAGTTCTGTTTCAAGACCTCAGATGGCTTTAAGAGGCAACTCTTAGACAGCTCTTTGTTTCTTTTTTTACCGATTTTTCTTTCTTGGAAGGTTTTGCAGCAGACCTAAAATCTGTTCTCCTGTTCAGGAAAGCACTTCAATCCACTTGGTTTTCCAGAGCATGTGCTTACATTCTGCCGACTTCCAGGAATGTAAACATATGCTCTAAGTTAATCTGTGCAGAGTGAGTGATTTTGATGCTTTGCTGAGTCGGGACCAGTAGCGTGTACTACTGCAGAAGCTTTGCTTAAGTCTGAAATGCTCTCATATTTTTATCACCGACCCTTGGCCGGATTTTCTGCAGCCAGGTTGATGCTGTTGGACTGGGCTGCAAGCTTCAGACCCCCTCCCCTTTTTTTCCTTAAATTGTGTACCTCAAATCCTCATGGTGGGATCGCTGGTGTTAATCAAACTATTTGCTACTGAGAAGATATTTGCAATGTTTGTTTAAACCTGTTTCCAAATGAAAGCTGCCTTTTAAAATTTTGTAAACTGAAAGTTGTATCTAATGAGTCACGACTCATTTCCTGCTTTTTATGAATAGGTGTTGATTACAAACAATACTGTTGTAATTTTATTTTTTACTTCAAAACATTGTTTACTGCTGTGTGTAATAAGTTTAAGGAAGGAATAACCTGTCTGTAGCTGTAGCTCATGCTGGAGAGGCAGCAGGTAAGTAACGTTCCATTGCAGAGCTATATTATAACTCGAAATAAAAAATCAAAAGCATTTTATGCAGGAATTGATATTTTACTCCTCACTGAAATAGATATAAGGATACCTTTGCTCTTCTACAGAGCGTAGCTTCTTGTGCAGATTTCTGTTGCTGGCAATGGAAATAGCAGGGGGGAAAAAAAAAGCAGGAAGAAAACAACACAGGTTAAACTGAGTGTGTTGTGGCTTAGAAGAAGAGGTCCCCGCATGAAGCCCCTTATTTCTGCGTGTTCTCTGAGTACTTAGTTGGAACTGACAGGCACAACGTATCACTATTTAGATGGAACTCTTGCTACTGTGAGTTTTGTTAATTTTTTTTTTTTTAATGAAACAAGAAATCTGTACAGAAAAAGATCCAAAGACCCTGATAGACACCAAAAAGGAATATGTCTGATGCACATCATGTATAAGTGAATCCGTAATGCAGTTGTACCAGGTGTTGGTTTATTCCATGTGACTGGCGGCTTCCTGTGTGTGCTCAGGAAGCGGCAGTTGGGCGCTGCGCTGCCTGCTGATGGTGCCATGGTGGCTCCTGCTGCCTTCTTTGATACTCGCTCTGTTGTATTTCATCTCCTCTCCAATAGAGGATAAAGCAGTCTGTGAGGAAACACTTGGTATTTCTTCTGAACGGTGTTTTTATAAGTAATGTTGAGAATGGGATACGGCTGTGTGTCCTTTGTTGTGGGAGACAAAGCCCGCAGCAGGAGGTGGTTGGGGTGGTGGCATCTCAGTGACAGAAGAGTTTTTTGCCTGTTTTTTCTGTTTGCTTTTTGTTTTTGTAAGTAAGGTTTCCTTTTTTCTTAGTAAAATTTCTACTAGACTGTGTGTTTCGACAGGTCAGAAACATTTCTTCAAAAGAAGAGCGTACGATTTTGGAAATTGTACAGCCCTTTTCTTTCATTCCCTTTTTGCTTTCTGTGCCAATGCCTTTGGTTCTGATTGCGTTATGAAAAATGTTTGCCAGAACTTGAGGTTTTTATTTATAGTGTGGTTAAAAGCTTGGATAGTTGTTCTTACACAAGATACCTTATTAAGTTTAGGCCAGCTTGATGCTTTAGTGCTTTATTTTTTCCCTTCTAAGTAGTGAGCAATCTGTTTTTTTCCTTATGAAACTGGTGAGGCTTAGATTTTTCTAATGGGACTTTTTTACCTGATGATCTAGTTGCATACCCAAATGCTTGTAAATGTTTTCCTAGTTAACATGTTGATAACTTCAGATTTACATGTTGTATATACTTATCATCTGTGTTTGTAGTAAAAATATATGGCATTTATAGAAATATGTAATTCCCGATTTCCTTTTTTTATCTATATGCTCTGTGTGTACAGGTCAAACAGACTTCACTCCTATTTTTATTTATAGAATTTTATATGCAGTCTGTCATTGGTTTTTGTGTTGTAAGGATACAGCCTTAAATTTCGTAGGGCAGTGCTCAGTGAGGTGGGTTGTCAGTGGGTTCAAATGTAAAACGTGCACGTTTGGCTGCTGCCTTCCCAAGATCCAGGACACTAAACTGCTTCTGCACTGAGGTATAAATCACTCAAGATCCCAGGGAAGTGCAGATCCACGTGATATCCTTAAAGAAGAATGAATACTTTCTAAAATATTTTGGCGTAGGAAACAAGCTGCATGGATTTGTTTGGGATTTAAATTATTGTGGTCATGGAGTGCACAGGTTTTAAACACAGTTGCAGCGTGCTGGTGAGTCACAGTGTTTATGCAGAAGTGATGCCGGTTGCAGCTGTTCGCTGCACTGCCCTGCAGTGAGTGTTGCAGACAGGGGTGGGGTGCTCTGTGTCCCCACACGCTGCCACGCAGCCACCTCCTGGAACACATCTCACCTGCTGGGTACTTCTCAAACCATCTTAGCTGTAGCAGATGAGTTGCTAACAAACAGAGAAGTTCCTCAGTTGGATGTTCTCGTGGGAATTTTTTTTTCCATGTTGGACGAAGTATGATAAAGCATCTCTATTTGTAAATTACGCACTTGTTAGTTCCTGAATCCTTCCTATAGCCCCGGTTATTGCAGCAGATATAGGCTCTGGTATGGCCCATATCTGTGCTTAGATCTTTTAAAGCTTCTGACTTGATTGAAGTCTCTTGAAGATAGTAGACAGTGCTCACCTTTGACCCCAATGGAATTGAGCATTTCAGTTGTTAAAAAAAATAAACAAATTCCTTCTATTCATACCATGTGATGTAATTTTACACCCCCAGTGCTGACATTTTGGAATATACTCAATAGACTTTGGCCTCACCCTCTTGTGTACTGTATTTTGTAATAGAAAATATTTTAAACTGTGCATATTATTATTACATTACGAAAGAGACGTTCTGTTGATCTTCAAATGTAAGAAAATGAGGAATGCGTGTGCTTTTATAAATGCAAGTGATTGCAAATCAGTGCAGGTGTCCTTAAAAAAAAAAAAAAAAAAAGATATAAAAAAGGACCAGGTGTTTTACAAGTGAAATACATTCCTATTTGGTAAACAGTTACATTTTTATGAAGATTACCAGCGCTGCTGACTTTCTAAACATAAGGCTGTATTGTCTTCCTGTATCATTGCATTTCCTCATTCCCATTTTGCACAAGGATGTCTGGGTAAACTATTCAAGAAATGGCTTTGAAATACAGCATGGGAGCTTGTCTGAGTTGGAATGCAGAGTTGCACTGCAAAATGTAAGGAAATGGATGTCTCTCAGAATGCCCAACTCCAAAGGATTTTATACGTGTATATAGTAAGCAGTTTCCAGATTTCAGCAGGCCAGAGTCTGCTGGATATTGCGTTGCCGGAGACCTGTATTTCTCAGCAAGGTAAGATGGTATCCTAGCAACTGCAGATTTTAATACGTTTTCAGCAGAAGTACTTAGTTAATCTCTACCTTTAGGGATCGTTTCATCATTTTTAGATGTTATACTTGAAATATTGCATAACTTTTAGCTTTCATGGGTTCCTTTTTTTCAGCCTTTAGGAGACTGTTAAGCAATTTGCTGTCCAACTTTTGTGTTGGTCTTAAACTGCAATAGTAGTTTACCTTGTATTGAAGAAATAAAGACCATTTTTATATTAAAAAATACTTTTGCCTGTCTTCATTTCGACTTGCAGTGCTCATTATGTCATTTCTGTCAGATATTCAGACATCAAAACAATGTGAGCTCAGTGGAGTTACAGCTGTAGGTTCAATGCAGTTACTATTTCTGAAACTAGAAATGATTTTGTTCACGCTAGCTGTGGTTTTC